TATATTTTTCATCTTTGGTATACCTCTCTCTAGGTATAACTCCCAAGAGAAATATGGTGGGGTTCAGTGCAGTATTTACTTGTAGGATTTTCTCTTTCTTCTTTGATTCTTATCCAGAAACCTTGAATTATTGGACAGTCCCAAAAGATAAGTGAATCGTCTCCTATTCCCCCACATTTTCTCCAACATAGTTCTGCATTGGGTTCCTTACAATATGAGGAGAAAAAAAATCTAATTTTAAATTTCCAGTCAAACTCTCCATAATTGACTACTTAGTCCCTTGTGACAAGTTTTACACATCTCTTCCCATACATTATCAGTGATAATATTTAGTTCTCGTTTCCATTTCTCTTTAATATGGCCTGTATTTTAAGATCAAACTAATTTTAATATTAGATAAAAAAATAACCCAAGTAAGTAAAAAAGTGTTTTATAAATGATGATTTCGTTAGAAATCACTCAAACAGAACCTGTCTGTCAAAGTGAAGCAGGCTAAAAGCTAAAAACAAACATCACGCCACGATGTAAAGACGCTCAAGAAAACTTATGAGAAAAATAACAAAGTTATTGGCATCTATAAGTCTACAGATGTTTGTAAGGCTTTGGGGCTCCAGTGAACAACGGAGAGGTGAACTTTCCAAGAAGCTACCAGTGACTCATCCAGGTCACAAAAGAACCCAGAATAACATCTAAAGAACTGCAAACCACAGAAATCTAAAATATAAAAAAGTATAAAACCACATGTGCTCAATGGGTTGTTTTTAATTGTTATTCTTCTGTGTTTCAATTCCTGTTAATAACTATTCCTGTTAAGATAAACCAGCTGGAGGGAACGCGGCAGATAAACGACTGCAGACAGAAGAAACACAAAGCAGCAGTTTCTGTAATTCTCTTTTATTAATTTTTTTCTTCACATTTTTACTGACAGAAGTCAAGTAACCAAGGCATCTGTAAACAGTGCATCCACAAATCTACATGTTGCCTCTCATCAGTGCGATCGTTCAGTCATTCAAAAACACTGTTTGGAAATAAATACAATACTGATTGTTTTTTTTCTTTAAAAAAAGAAGAAGAAGAAGAAGAAGAAGAAGAAGAAGGTAAAACCTACATCTGCCTGAAGGAGCTCGTAAAGATTCAGTCTTTGTCTGTAGTCACAGTCTGGAAATGATGCCACATATGAAGCAACACACGGAGGTAAACGACTCGATGTGGTAAAATCCTGAAGCCGGAGGATGAAATACTGACACCACCTGCACGGCTGGTTATGTGCGGCTAAAATGAGAAGTGAGATTTTCTGGACCTTTGAACCCCTTAAAAAGCTTTCAGCTTCATTATAAAAATTACAGTATATCTATCAGTGCATCAGGTGGTCCAGGTGTGTGATTAGGAGGCTTCCTGTGTGCCTCATTACAAGGTTTATTAAGCTGTACGACACCCAGAAAGCCACAAACTTCCTCCTGCACCGCTGCACCGCTGTCCAAAGACGACTGAAATGTTCCTTTATTACCATGAACACAGACCCACTCCCACATGCATCACTGTGCTGCCCCTAAAGTAACAGGTTGACTAATCCGCCATGAAAAATAGTCCCCAATAAACACACCTTTTCCTCCTGTTAAACAAAAACTTCCCATTTTCTTTTTGTGTGGTATCAAAAAGG